AGTTATCAAACAAAGTTCGCGGTAAAGGATACGACGAATAGAATGCAGATGAATAGAAAACGAGAATGGAAATGGAATGAGAATTGAAAAGATGAATAGACAAAGTTATACGGATTAGATAACGATCACAGGCATTCGCGTGGTTAAACAAAACGCCGTAATGCCGTCCACACTATATGTACCCCGACTATACACTATTACCATATCCACCGAGGATCTATTTCACTGTCAAACTGTCTACTATCCACCGGTCCAGCCTACACCTATATACAGACATCTAACACTACTATATAGACTATGACTATATTTACCATGTCCACCCTACACCCTGCACACATATAACACTACTATAGATTATGACTATATATATTAACTACAGACTATACCACGACTCGGTCGGCGCACCTTCTTCTGAGGTATGCGCATTAGCACGCTTCTCTCTACATTACCTACTGCCCCACAATGTGTCTGACTGTGCCGACCCTCGTTCGCCTTCGTTCGCAGTTACACTTACGGTCTTTGAACCAGACGCGCGGCCGGACAAGCCAGATACACATCTCGTTAGTTAGTTAGTTAGTTACACGTTCACGTACACTCTATAATACTCTATACACACGCAGCTATAATACAGTTCAACCCGTATATAACTGCCACTCAAGGAATCCCCTTCCACACGCACGCACACGAACGCGCACACGCATACACACACGCGCAGGCACACGAACACGCACACGCATACACACACGCACATACACGTACGCACACACACACACACACACACACACACACACGCACGCACACGCGCTTACATGCACACGCACACACGCGCGCACATGCACGCACACACATATGCACACAAGCACGCACGCACGCACACGCGCACGCACGCACGCACACGCGCACGCACGCACGCACACACACACACACACGCACACATGCGCGCAAACATGCACGCACACACGCACACACAAACTTACACATTCACACGCACACGCGCATGCGCGCACGCTCACACAGACATGCACATTCACGCGCGCAGTACGCGCGTCTGTCTCATTCATGCCGACAACAACGGGGTATTGTCGCTGAGGTGACGCTGTAAGGTCAGGCAGACGAGGCTGCGGCCCTGCCCCACCCCCACTCAGCTCACGGCCGCGTCTATCGTGACGGACGCACATCCAGTGCACTAACAATGGTGACGTGTGTTAACCGAACGCAAATTTATTCCGGTTACGACCCTGAAGCCGTGATGCAGTAAAATATCTACCGCGGCATGTCACGTTGATGCGTTATATATCTAATGATAATATTCATATATCTAACATGTAAACCCACGCTACTCTCCTAACGTACACTATAGCCGACAGAAGTACGTGGGAACCGAGTAGAACAGTGACTAGAACTAAAAATGAGAGAAACGTGTGAGAGTAGAGATCGAGAGATAGAAACTGTAAAGTAGAATGTGTTCCTGTAAAATCTACACCTTAACTTAGAGTTATTTTTGTATAATATCCGGAGTGAATAAAAACAATATTTGTTTTTATCCACTCCCGATTATATAAGAGGTGAATAATGACAATATTTGACATTATTCACCCCTGATAATATAGTTTTAAGTTAGCTTATAATTACATCTATAACTTGGCGCTTCTTTAGCCCGAGATCTAAGCTAGAATTTATAACTTGGCGCTTCTCTTCAGTCGAGGGTTTTTCACTTGAGTTTTTAACCGAACGCTCCTCTTACGCGTACAGTAAGTACTACGTACGCCGTCGATCACGTGCTATACCGACCGGGTGGTGGTTTGTACTCCCAAAACTAGTAGTAGCATATCGGCAGTGGGCCACGCTTAATGTACGAGCAGCCTATACCTAGCTATAGCTAGCATGATGCAAGCAGCATCACGTACGTCGACACACAGCCACGCGCAGCTTCCGAAGTAGGTCGTGAAGGTTCACGAGATACGCTATAGCGGCTAACAGACATTTCCCCTTCCTTCCTCTCCCCCTCTCTATCTTTCTCTTATCACTATCCATCGCTCTCTCACTCTCTCTCTCTCTCTCTCTCTCTCTCTCTCTCTCTCCTTATCTCTCTCTGTCTGTCTCCTCTTCTCTATCTCTCTCTCTCTTCTTATATATATAATCTTTCTCTCTCTCTCTCGCTCTCTTGGTCTTCACTCCATCCCCATCCTCTCTCGCTCTCTCTCCTCTTCATTTCCTGACCTTTCACTCATCTGATCTTTCACACACAGCTAACATATAGAGATGATCTGTTTAGCCGGTGTAGAAACGAACCATCCGCGAGGAAAAGAGGAGAAAGGAACTGCAAGCTACGTAACGGAGGCACGCGCGCACCACAAACAGTTTACTTCTGTTAGGTGCGCGTGTGTATCAATAAACATGTTTGTATTCACTGACGGAAGGAGCGAGTGTTAATTTATTTTATGGATATTGTTTGTATAAAACGCGGATAATGTTTCAAACGTTATGGTAAATGTGCGAGCTTACGGTAAACCCATGCTGAGCCACACTCGCCTGAGGCAGAGACAGGGTTGCATTCTCATACCATCAGATATCAATCAAACGTATATGCCCTCTCCTCTCATATTGCTATAGATATATCACATATACATCAAATTAGGAAATGAATTAAGATATGCCGACCTATGCTATACCCAACTAACTAAACGCAAGCATTAATATAGCATAACCACATGCAGTTGCATTGCAATAACATAGAGATATGGAAAGCTAGGGGAATAAATAAGACGTCAACGAAACCTTCCCTCTAAAAATAATTAAACGCTATACGACCTTAATTACGAATTCTACGAATTCTAGCTCGATACCTTCGCGCGATATTAGTGAAGGAAGTTGCAAAGGAGGAATTCGAACATCTGGGACAGTAACCGGAGTTTTCCTGCCGGAGAGCGACGGTGGCGCACAGCGGGGTGATAAACGTCGACCAGGATGTTGCTCTCCCACGAAGCTAGCAGTAAACACGCAAAGCGAGCGCAGCACTACATTAGAGTTAAGGAGATATGGATTCCTCATGGTGTGTGTTTATTCGCACACTGCATATATTTAGAGAGACTATAAAACGCGACGAGAAATTCCGCTACGCTTCGTCCGCGCATTGCGGTTTAGGTGTATGAATCTTTGCTATATATGCGGTGGAAATGGCGGTGTTTGAAAGACGTTATCTTGTTCGATCATAATTCATTCCTAGTGCGTCGTGATAACCCGCCGCCGTACCTTGACTTGCACATCACCATAACAGAAGACGTCACCGATGATTGATAACGGGTTAAACAGCGTTAATGTGACAATTTTACGCATGCGTGCGTCACGTGTGCGCGTGCCTGCCTGTCTGTCTGCATACATGCCCGTGTGCGGACGTGTGCGCGCGCAAGTGGGTGCGTGCGTTCGTACTTCGTACCCCTTTCGATAGGTTTATGCGTTTCATATTTTTGTTACTGTTGAATAAGAAAGTGTGTCTAATAATAGGTTACTGTCTAATGCGCAGTAGATTTAACGAAATGTTTCTCAACAATTTTCTCCGGGCAAAGAGCGTACCCCCCTCCTCGTGGCCTTTCCAACATAGGAAGCGTACCCAATTAACGCTCTCTCACAGCCGTAAATTTGTTAATCCACCCACTGCTGCCCGAATGCATTTTCGTCAAGGTCTGTTTGTTGACTGAACCTCCGCGTGGGCCTAGTTCCACGTATCCCATAACTCTAAACCCATAGGCTATACAAAAAACGGCCATAAAAGGCAATACAATACCAGGTTAGATTGTAATGAGCCGGGGAAATGCCACATAGCAGTGCTACACGAACTCAGTCAGATGCGTGGACCTCTGCCTGCTTGTTATTTTGCGTTTAAATATTAAACGTTATGGATGTATGATAACCACCTCATTATTTACTACGTACAGTGTATTATGTAACACAGTGTATGGCGACTCCTCTATTCACCACAATTCCACCATTGTTGTGCAAATCAATAACGCCACAATGACGTCGAACCAAATATGCGCAACTTGTCCAATATGTCCAGGCCACAATACCGATCAAGTAATTATTGATTACTACGTACGCAGGTCGATAATTTTTGGAAACATTATCGATTAGATAATTCTATATCGAACAGACGCTATACGGGAAATAGATGTGAGGTGGATGTAATGTTCATAGTCACATGCAGCCACAGTCACAGTCACACTCACAGTCACAGTCACAGGTCACAGTTTGCGTGTATGGCCTGTATAACACTACAATGCCTGTCATTGACGTGTAGGCATCACGACAAACATAGGCATAACAAACACACCTGATCCACGAAAATAATTTGGGACTAGCGGGTAGCTCCATCCATCTATGCACTCCACAGCATGCTCTTGTTAGTCTGCTACTTATTATTATTATTAGTTGTAGATTTCTGCGTGATGTAAGGACTAGTGGTAGGACTAGAGGATAGGATTAGGGTCGGGTGAGCGTTAGGGTCACGATTAGTGCTGGGATTAGGGTTAGGGTTTGGGTTAAGAGTAGCCTTGGATTTAGAGCTAGGGTCGCTCAAAAAAACGGTCGTATATATGTCGAAATACGTGATGTTAAGTTGGTATTGACGTTTTCTCGCAACTATAGTTCATTCGGGCTAGGGTGAGGTGTAGTCGTACAGTTATGGTTAGGGATTCGATAGGGTTAGGGTTATATTATAGGGCTAGGGTTAGGGTTAGTTGTAGCGTTATGGTTAGGGATTGGATAGGGTTAGGGTTATATTATATGGTTGGGGTTAGGGTTAGTTGAACCGTTATGGTGAGCAATTCGATAGAGCTAGGGTTATATTATAGGGTTAGGGTTACATTATAAGGTTATAGGATTATATTATAGGTTATAGGGTTACATTATAAGGTTATAGGGTTATATTATATGGTATAGGGTAGGTGGAGGTGTTTAGAAGTCGACTGTATCTCACAGTAATAACCACAAACGCGTCATACCTGCTGTAGGACTAGTTGTGATGCATCCATCTCACACACGACGCGTCTGTTCACGGGACGATGTGAGAGCTTATCGTGGAAATCACTCCGTATTATGTGTTTACCATGCTATCGCCGTCAGCACGCACAGCACGCGCGCGCACGCACGCACACACAGACGAGCCGATCTGAGAAGTTCGCACAGCCTTGGCAACTCGCGCGTCTTTCTCCTGTGGCGAGCACGATTTCAGCTTCTAGTGCAAAGAAAAATATCCGCGCCCGGTCCACCACAAAGGCCGCAGTTTAAGCGCACCGGGATTTACGATGGGCGCGCATCCGGCGATGAGCCCTACCCCGTGTGGAATGTGGCACACGCACGCACGCACGTTTGCACGCACTCACGGCCGTCTATATACACGCGCGTGACAACACCAACCGCGTATACACACACGCGCGCACACGCACGTTCGCACGCACGGCTCTCTATATACACGCGCGTGACTACACCAAACGTGTGTACACACACTCACGCACACGTACACACACACTACTATATAATGTCGGGTGAAGTCGCGTGCAGAGCTGATGCTCGCACTGTGATTGCTCGTCCGGTAAAATCCTTGCCGACGTGTGTGTGTATGTGCGAATCAGTATAGAGGTTAGAGGTCAGATATAGAGGTCACTGCTCGCACTTCCCTATCTGCGTCACGCGTCTTCTCCTCCCTATCTGCGTCACGCGTCTTTTCCTCCCTATCTGCGTCACGCGTCTTCTCCTCCCTTCTGTCGCGGAGAATCAAAGAAGACTCTACACGCGTGCGCACAGGAGAAACCGTTATACCTCCGATGCTCCCTCTCTCTTTCTCTCTCTCTCTCTGAGTGCACCTGTTGGCACGAACGATCGGTGCAGAGGGCTTGTGTTTACACAGCCACACCGCTCACTGACTGATTCACGTGTAGTGAATGTACGGGCAGCAGCAGCAGCAGCAGCAGCAGCAACAGCGACAGTGACGGTGGTGCTAGTGATAGCAGCGACACGTAGAGTGGATGCTGGTGGCGGTGGAGGCGCGGGGACACAGCGCCGCGACCATCACGCTGTCAAGGTATCACGGTATGACGCTGTCACGGTATCACAATATCACGGTATCACGGTGTCGCGCTGTTAGGTGGTGACATCGTTTCCATCACGTCACGCTGTCATCGTGTTGTGAGACGTCTTCTGTCCCGAAATACAGAACTTCTTTCTCTCTCTCTCTCTCTCTCTCTCTCTCTCTCTCTCTCTCTCTTCCTCTCGTCTACGCGTTTGTAATGCTCCTAATTCAATTTACACGCCCGCGCGTGTGTGAGCGTACGTACGACTGTGCCACCGATAGTTCGCCTACTTGCGGTATGTGAGCGTGCGTTCGGGTGTACCTGTACCTGTACCTGTTCGACTTTACCTGTCCCGCGGCACAAAGCGCACCTGAGCTCCCCCGCCACGGCCCAGTGGACACGCGGCCGAGGACAACGTCTGCTAGCGAGACTGGCACCAACGCAGGACGGATGACTGCAGGCGGGTGGCGCCCGTCTATGTGCGAGCGGACTAGCACACGGTGTACAGGTGAACTCGTCGTTACGGCGCGGCGGCAAGGGCTAACGTTGTATAGCTGTAATTTACCGATAAATAGAGGTGGAGTGGGAGAAAGGGAGAGAGAGAGAGAGAGAGTGGGGAGAGAGATGCCTAAGCTATTGCGGATGAGAATACGATTAGCTGTGAATTTAGATGCACATAGCTAGGGTGCATCGGTGCAGCAATCATGCGTGCGTGTGTGCTCAATTGCGTGTGTGTGATCGGTGGTGTGTGCTCAATGGTGTGTGTGTGTGTATGTTGTACATGCCGCACTGACCGCTTCAGTGACTGACTGTTGACTGAATCTGGATGACTCTCACAGAACGGTGATTATACTCTGTGTACCGCCTCTATGTGCGTTCCTGTGTGCGTTCCTGTGTGCCAGTATTTGTGCGCGTTCGGCCATTGCCCTGCGTTAGTATACTGCCCCTCGCTAAAGCTTTCTATAAGTTCTTCTAGTTTATTCCCCGTTAATCTCACAGGTGTGCGTACCCTACCATCCTCGATCACAACCATCCATCAGATCAATAACCCACCTCTCCTATAGCTCTATACTCTTCTATTCTCTTCTCTATACTACTCTATATAGCTCTATATACTCGATCTTCTATACTATATATACTTCTCTGTACTCCTCTATAGCTGTCTTAAATATTGCCACTAAAAACAACCATATTTGTTAGAAATTGAAAGTTCGACAATACTACAGAGGCGTATACTGTACCGCGCCGTACGCAGAAGGCAGTTAGATAAGGCAAGGCTTTCTATCTGTATACATCAAGAGTATACATAATAAATATATAGAGATAATCTCTATTATGTACTCTTGATATACATATAAATATACTAGATATGTCTATCTGGCCTATACCTAAATATACATTTTTATGGCTCCAGCTTTGGCGCCATCTTTGAAAGTCTGTCGTTTCCGTTTCGGATAACGACCATGACAGGTAAGCACGACTTAGACTTATAGGCACCGTTAGAAACACCTGCATTCTCGACAGCTTTGCTATTGTGTGCACGGTCTGGCTTTGTCTGGTGGCATTGTTTAGCACACGGACCCCTTCCGCGCGCATTTACTCCCCCTCCCTGCAGCCACCACCACCCTGCCGTCCGCTCGCACTACCCCTCTTCCGTTCGTATATCCACCACTCCTACCTCAACTTCCCTCTCCCTCTCTTTCTCCTCCCTCCCACCCATCACTACTTCCCTCTCCTTCCAGCCTGCCACCACCCCTCTCCCTTTCGCCCGCTACCACACCTCTCCTTTTCGCCCGCCACCACCCCTCTCCCTTTCGCCCGCCACCACCCCTCTCCCTTTCGCCCGCCACCGCCCCTCTCCCTTTCGCCCACCACCACCCCTCTCCCTCTCGTCCGCCACCAACCGCACACTCAAGCCTGAGTGACAACCGCCGTTAGTTTCCTGTCCCATTTACAGAGCGTCACTGCTGACGCTCACACACACTACGTACACGGATGAATCTAACCTGCCGCCCGTTCTCGGCCGCTGCGCCGCACATACACGCGAATTACAGGTGTAGTGGCAGGTATTCCAGCTGTATGAAAGCAAAGGCATTTATCCAGCGGCGGCCTTCCACTACTGCCCTGCACACCTGGACATCAAGAGAGGCGTCCATGCGACGCGCAGGCAGCGGCTCTTCCTTCTACCTGTTTCCCTCCCGCCTGCTACCTGTGTTCCTCCCGCCTGCTACCTGTGTTCCTCCCGCCTGCTACCTGTGTTCCTCCCGCCTGCTACCTGTGTTCCTCCCGCCTGCTACCTGTGTTCCTCCCGCCTGCTA